GGGTTTATCCAAATTATGAAAGAGATGTAGAGTTGTGGATTTGTCTGAAGTGCATAATGTGACTAAGAGATGCAATTTCAGCCACTAGAGAGCTACAACTATTGGATATAACTGTGTGCAATCTTCAGCACAGCTTGCACACAGAGAGAGAGAGAGAGAGAGAGAATGGTGGGACCTAGATAGTCACAAAGTCAAATAATGAAAGTATGAGTAACATTATTTATAGATTATAGTCCAGAAAGCAGAACTTGAGTAAAAATCACAAAACTTAGCACCCAAAATGGAGGAAGCAACTGAGAATTATTGAAACCAACCTTCTTCAATCATAGCTCCTATAGAAGGATTGGCTGACACTAGGAGACATGAGAGTGATGCCAAGAACAAGGATATATTGCTATAACCCTCCCCAAACCAAGAGTTCCACATCTAAGAGAAATGGGCTCTTGGATGGGTTTATAAGCGTAAAGCCACCAACCACTAGTGAGGTCTTTTAAAACCATGAGGGCAGACAATATTCCTCGTGATGTCCCAGCACTTTGGCGTAGGTTGTTACATATATATTGTTACATGTATATATTAAGGATCAAGATATTTCTCAAGAAAACCTTTACTTTACTTGTGGGAAATGGAAAATGTGACTTGGCTTTAAGAATGGATAGAAAACTAGGGCTGGAGAAGGCTGCATCAATATTAGTTGATTTCAAAATGCTTTAGGTTATTCATCAGAAGTTAGGAATGCGACAATCTTTATTCACCTATTTATTTCTTCAACCCAAATATATCTTGCTTTTCCCAAAAAAAGAAAAAAAAAAGAAAAAAAAGAAGAAGCCCAAATAGATCTTTTAGCAACATGAAATCCTATCTACAGACAGAGGGTCTAGCAAATAATTTAGAGAGAGAAAATGACCCCTAGGTGGAAGAAGGCAAGGTGAAGGGGGTGATTCTTTTATTTTTGTTCCATATATAAGTTCTGTTTTCACTAATTAGATGCAGTTTGCTTGTTTCTTTCTTAGATAAGACTTCTCTTTAATCATTTTTTTCAATCATTTATAGTTTGTGTATGATTCCCTCATAATCAGTCATTCTATCTTGCAGCAAGTGGGCCTGGGAGGTGCAAGCTAAACAATGGAGGTTGTTGGCACGATGCCCAAAATGGACATGCATACTCTGCTTGTGTGGTTAGTTTTATTCATTTCTACTTCCCCTCCTCTCCATCTTCTACCCCTTCATCTTTAAGAATGAAGTTTATATTCTGATCTTTGATGTGAACAGGATAGTGAAGGTGGTAAATGCCAGTGTCCTCCAGGGTTTAGAGGAGATGGTGTCAACAGTTGTCAAGGTGAGAGATGAAAACATTAATTAATGTTTCAAGTTGGTATCTGAAACCCAAATACTTAGTTGTTATTTTGAATTTTGTTAATCAAATAACCATTCAAAGATAACTTGAGTTCCTGAAAAGGATTAATTTTTTACTTTGTCTTTTTCATCATGCAGATATTGATGAATGCAAAGATAAGAAAGCCTGCCAGTGCCCTGAATGTAACTGCAAAAATACCTGGGGAAGCTATGAGTGTACCTGCAGTGGGGATCTTTTGTACATGAAGGAGCACGACACATGCATAAGTAAGTTGGAGAACATAATATTTGTTACTTAAGACTCTGCTTAGAAACGTGCAATAACATGGTTCTTTATTAATGCTCACTCCTTGCCCCATTTCAGGTAAGACAGTTACTGAAGTAAGATCAGCGTGGACTGCTGTTTGGGTGATTTTAATAGGCTTGGCTATGGCTGGTGGTGGGGCTTATCTTGTTTACAAATACAGATTAAGGGTAAGTTTGCCACTTTTGCACCCTATTGACTGTGTTTCTGGCCTACAAGTTTAAAAAACAAGAAAACAAAATATCCACAAGAGAAACTCATGTAAAGATCTTTTTGCCTAACCTTTGAATGCTTATTTACTTATGAGCTGGAATTGTTCTGCTGTTCAAATTTTATACCAATAATTTACTAGGCTAGGCTAGGGCATTCATGGGGCAAAGGATAGCTGGTTCTATTTTTGCTCTTCGATGGATATTATGGGCAAAAACAAAACTAAAATTTTGTTTGTTACAAACTATTTAAATGCATTCATGGAGCAAAGGATAGCTGATTCTATTTTTGCTCTTCGATGGATATTATGGGCAAAAACAAAACTAAAATTTTGTTTGTTACAAAGTATTTAAATTTAGTTTTTCGATCGAATAATGACATTGCTTATTAGCTTAAAGAAGTTTCTTTACAGTTTTTTGTTTCTCATGGAAGAAACCTAAAGAGTTTGTTCCATGGGATGTGTTAGATAGGTACTTGATCATTCTTCATCAAATTCATTTGATTTGGAGACTCAGAATAACCATGTTCCCGTTGTTGATGGTTTTGCCATTGGATGTCAGACAATTTTGATGGATTTAATTGATATTTCTTTCTTCTGTTACTTGTGTGCAGTCATACATGGATTCGGAGATCAGAGCAATAATGGCACAGTACATGCCCCTGGATAGTCAAGCAGAAGTTCCAAATCATGTCAGTGATCAGCAGAATCATGCTTGAACCATTGAAGAGCAGAAAAAAAAACAACTTCGTCGGAAATATTTTCAAGGATTTAAGGTTGTGCAGGGTTGATTTTCATCGAGTCATGCCCTTATATTATTGGATTTTGAGCTTGGGTCTTATGGTTGTATAAAATATATGGTGGACTATGAAGAAATGAAAATCTGTATTTCTTTGTTGAAACCTTATAATACGATGTTGAGATACACTTTTGACATTGGGGGCAGAATGATTGCTCATTAGGAATCCTGCAGCATCAAGGATCTAAGAAAATTTTCAGATAATTTATTTTTAGGATTCTGTAACTCGATGCATTTTAGCTGTAGTACTCTTTGTTCCTAGTTATTATAACAATATTTTCATTTTCAATATAAGGAGCATTAATTACTTGCTCAAACATAGGCCATGGATTTGATTGGCGTTCTTCTTCTTATTCCCCACCCCCCCGCCACCCCGCCACCCCCTTTTTTTTAATATGTATTTTCTTTTCTTTTCAGGCGGTGAGTCTAGTGCATTATAAAGCACACTTATTTGATGCTACATATGGATTGGTAAAATAGTTGAGAAGAAAGTGATTTGTCAAGAAAGCATTGCTGAAGTCCTTGAAAAATTTGCCACTTGCCATGCTAATGGTTGTTTTTCTTTAATTTTAGATTGCACTAGAAACAATTTTTTTTTTATTCTTTAATTTATTTCATTGACATGTTATACAAAACAAATTTAAAACTTTTTATTTTATCAATGAGTCCCGTTTACTTATGAGTATTATTATGATTAACACTAACCAAAGTTTGATAATCATTGAAAAATTTTCAAGGTAGGAGCACCTAAAAAAATTTCTTAATTGAAAGATCCCAACGCGAAGCACACATTCATGCAACAGAAAGGATCATATTTAATTAATGAAAACCAAAATTTTTTAATTTTAGTGATTACAAAATTTTTGAAAGCCCAAATTAAAGAATTTACTGAATTATAATTTAAACCGTAAAATAAAAATTTTTGTATAAAGAAGATTTTAATATTAAGAGACCAGTCCCTCATGGATCAGATTATAAAATAAATTTTCAAACTAAAAATCAAAACCCACAAGCATATAAACTTTAAATTAATAAACAATTGAAAGTCAGAATTTTTATTATTACTTACAGCGGCTTAATCAAATTTATAAACGTAACAGATAATTAGTAATTACAAAGTATCACAGTTACAGCAAATAATTTTTTCTTAAAGTTCCCAATATTTAACATCAAAGGATAACAGGGGGAAAAATGAATGGCAAGGAGAACCATTTCCAAGAAAATGGCGTACAACATTCGGCATCAGCTCAGCCGAACTGATATTTTCTTATATCCAAGTTTTGAAAAGTATGAGGGAGAGAAAAATGGGAGCGAAGGAAGAGAGATTTTCTGCAATCATCTTGTGGTTTTCACAAAAAAGAAAAAGGTTTTGCCTCAGAATGACCCGGCATGACTTTTTGGAAGCAAGCAATGTAACATCACCTATTCCAATATCACCATGTCAAACTCTAAGAATTACTGCTGCTCATCATGAGGCAGTTCTTCACCAGGAGCCCGTTGCGCAATTTTGTAATATAGAATGCTCATGGTTGCCATGCATGCCCTGCACAAAATGAAACATGTTCGAGCTAACTTAAATCAGTGATTATTTCTTTGTCTTCCTCAATCTGGAAATACAATTCACCAGGGGCAAGTGGAAAAATAAAGCAATCCATTTATTTTCTGCAGCAAACAGCATGAAATTCTCAACCTTGCAAAGTTGCAATGACTTTGTTTATCCGTACGGTAGTTCTGAGTATAAAGCAACCATGTATTTGTAGGAATTTAAACCTAAATTATGCACACAACAGAAGTCAGTTTAAATTAAAAACACAAACGGACCAAAAAATAAAAAAGGCATAAAGCCGGGTAACCTTTTCCTTTTGGTAGTTCTGGGAAGAGAGGGTTCTGCTTATCAAAAAGAGGAAACCAAGACTATTGCAAAGATTTCGATCTTTGACCTTGACACCCTAATAAAGGTCTTAAAGTTAGTGGATACCACCTCATCTATAGTCTTGTTAGTTAAAACCAGCAACTAAATCATTTGGTGAACAAATTTTCCCCATATCCCAATAGAGCTCTTTCATCCTTTTAGTTATTAGTCCCATCATGGGATTAGAAGCAAATTGCACACGCAAGTAATGCAAACATGTGCATAAAGATACAGATGCATCAAGAGAGATAAATAAGCACACATACCCACCACACATAGAGACACAGAAAAAGAGAAGCAGAGGAAGAGAGCATGAATATATATAAGCATGCACAAGTGGGAAGTCGGACATTACATGAGTGCTATGATGAGAAGAATTTTGCTTGGATCCATCCGTGTTGATCTTTGATGCCGCAATCGAGCCTCTGAGACATCATCTGCATTTGATGCATCCTTACGAGGAGGTGCAGTCACTGGTAAGGTTGGTAATGCATTTGACCAGAATGGAAGCAATGCTCTCAGAAACTTATGACGGAGTGGGCCTACAACAATAACCATACAAGTCCCTTTGGTATTTGAAAGCAAAAGAACTAGTCCTGAAATAAGAAAGTAGAGCATGCAATAAACTCTTGAAAGGGATATTAAATACCCCATCCCATTTTGGAGTGCATTGTTAAAACGCATGCAGTGCTGGGAGGAGAAACATAGGTTTGAGGGTGTCTCTTGACATTGAAATTCTTATAATTTTCTATAATATCAAAATTTCTGAGTTTTTAACTTTCAAAGGAAAGGAAACTGAAAAAATTTGATATATGAAGAACGCTGAGAGCTAAACTTCCAAAAGATGTAATTTATTTCAAGAGTCAAGATATCTAAAGCATTGTATCTCACACTTGAAAGGACTTAAAGACAAGAGTATGCAATTATATTTCTAGTGATCTATACCAAACAACAAACTAATTCCAGAACATACTCAAGCAGTAATTCATATCACAAACATACAGGGAAAAATTCTAAATTTCTGATTAGTTACAGTGAAAAAAAGATTAGCCCATCACCATACCCATTTTTTTTTTCTTTATACTGAGTACTAACCTCTTCTGCTATACTTCTTACGATTCCCATCTTCATCATCTGCATGATATAATATTTTGGAGTTTTGCCGCTCAACATAGGCTGTACTTTTTCGTGTCGTAGGAACGGGCTGAATTTATTGAAGAAGAACTACTTAAGGTGGGGCAGGGATAAAGAACCAAAATTAAAAGAGTATAAAAAGAGTACAAGCCTAAATTGACAAATGCATTCCAGCATAACTTTAAAAAAGGACTCTAGAAATTAAGTTTACATGCAACAGTGAACAAGAAAATACTTACACCAGCTGGGCTTGAGTTTTTTGGGTAATTCCCTGCTGAACTAGGACTGTCTACTTCTATTATCTCTGACACTGTAAGTTTAGAAGGCACCACAACTGAGGCAGAGTCTACTTCAGTAACATTCTTGCCATCTTTAGCCACAGAGGGCTGTGAATTTGAACTATACTCCAAGCCTCCATTAGAGGATACATTTATTAGAGGATCTGAGGTGAAGGCATGCGGAGGACCACAGGACTCTTTTGAGGGCAAAGAAACGGGATGGTTTCCAAACAAATTCTTTTCCATGCCAGTCTGCAGAATAGCAAAAGGATTTTCTTCAACATGCAATCTAACCAAATATCAACATAAGCAAGCTTAGTTACAGTCTAATGCTAGTAGTTTGAAGGTTTTCTATCAATTATAATCCATAGCAATACCAATCCAAATGAAGTTCATACAAGGATGTGAATGTATATAAGATTTAGGATTATCCTGTAAAATAAAAGTATATCTCAACGGAACCTACAAACTAATTATTAATTAAGAACTAGAACAGCATCCATTCGAACATGAAATTACAATGATTAATCCATAATAGAGCACGTGTACATTCCAGTCTAAATCGCATACTTTCCTTCAGAGAGTAAGAGGTAAGTGATTTAGAATACAACAAATATTGCCTTAAATGGAAGATTCTTGCTCTATGAAAATTCTGACAAAGAGTAAACAAAGATGAATAGATTTCAATGCTTAAAGCACTGCCTCATGTACCCCCCCCAAAAAAAAGTTGATTAGATTTAAATCGCAAATCTGTGGGCTTCAGTGTTGAAAGAATCAAAAAATAGGTATCTGAAATTAGTTCAAAGCCCCCACCAGTAAGTACAGGGATCTGTTCTATTTGTCATTATTTATTTATTTATTTATTTTTGGTACTAATCTCCCGGTATCCGGAAGTCACATTGAAACCCAACTAATCTGGAATCCAGCTGCATCAGACCCGTAAGGGGGGAAGCTCTCCCCTTATGGAGAGCTCGAGACCTCACTTCAAGAGAACTGAGCTCCAGACCTTGCTTAAGGGGGACCGAGCTTCTTCCACTCAAACCAACAGATCATTGGTTCTATTTGTCATCATTTGAGTGATAGTTTTGAATTTCAAAATTGGCTTAGCAACTATGGCCTTAAAAAAATTTATAGTTAATGCTTTTTTCTGGATAATATAAATTTAGGTTTTCTTAACATTGCAGTTTGACCCAAAGTTTCCAATTTGATACTAAGCTTGAATGGAAGAAATACATTTATGTTGATGCAGTTGGCAAGATAAAAAGTCACAAAACATACAAGCAGGCTACCCTGTTGAACTCCAAGCCGGGGATCAAACAAACATTATATTGTTCAACAAATCAACTAATGTATGATAGCATAACTCAGATCCATTTCTTAAAAGAACAATTCATAACTAATAATCACACTTAGATTTCATGTAAAACTACTCAAGTAGAGAATGGGAAAGTAGAATTTTCAAAGCAATCATGCACTATATATATATATATGAGGAGGGATCCACTCACACACAAGTCTTATACAACACACTTACACAAAATCTTGACCATTCATCTCTCCACTTTCAATGGTTGAGATTTATCACAACCTTTTAGATGAAAACAATAATTATATCCTTAATAAATGTGAATAAATCTCAACTATTCAAAGTGGAGAGATGAATGGTCAAAATTTTGTGCAAGTGTAATGTGTAAGACTTGTGTGTAAATACATCCCTCCTCTAATTTTTATATATATATAAAGAATTTATACACAATAATATCATACATGACTTCTGCTTCACCAGAGGGACATTTAAATGAGCAGATCTTCCAAAAGGAAAAGAAAAAAAAAAGTAAGTTAAGTTCCAAGCTCAAATTAGTGACAGCGCATCTTTAGAACATATTCAGGCTGGTGCATGGATTTACCTTCAAAATAGCTTCCTTCAGATGTGAATGAAAACGAGAACCTGAATCTTTGACAGTCTTAGGAGGCCATATCTGCAGAACACACACCATCCAGAAATAAAGAATGAGTAAGATTTATTGATAACAAGACATTGAAGTGCTACAGCCAAGTAAATCATCCAAATAAAGAGTGGAATATCAAAATAATTTATAAGCCTGAGGGCAATAGATCTCAGAAAGGTCCTTACTAACAAGATCAATATAAATAACAAAATGGGAAATGTGTTAATATTAAAAGGAATCTGCACTGTCTTAGCTTAGTGCCTGAAATACATTTCCTTGTGCATCTATTTTTAGGGTATGCAGGGGTGATTGAATTTTACTTAATAAAAAACTCATAAGATCCTCAATTTTCCAGCTCATTTTGGTACATCCATAACGGCACACAGGTGAACTTTATTGCAAAAAGCTATTCCATGTCACTGTTTTATCCAAAAAGACAATTGCTCATCTTCAATACCATTATTGTGAAGTTGCACCTAAGTGTACCAGTGCTTTTATAAATTTACAATGTTATCTGCATTGGAACTTTTATAGCCACAGGCCTGTGTCAGCTCATTCACTTTACCAAACAGTTAGAAATTACTTTCATGTAGCATTAAAGAATATTCTGAAGAACATGATTTTTCAAATTACTCATTTTTATTCATGAACTGAAACAGTGGCAACCAGAAATATTTTTGGCCAATTTATAGCTCATTAATCAGACTGTAAAATGAACAAATCCGAGAAGTAGGTCATACAGGAGCAGAACATGAAGGACAGACATATCCAGCAGGTGCAGTGTGAGGTGGAAAGCTTTTGACATGCGAAACCAGGCAATTTGTGTGTAAAACATCTGTAGGATCCAAACATAAATAAATTTTTAATTAGTTTAACAAACACAAATAAATTTTTAGTTAGGTTAAGAAACACAAATTCAACCCTAAACCAAGCAAGAAAAAAAAACATAAGAGGCAGCAACCATGTAAATATATTCACGTACGTAAGCAACCCAATCGAGTGGTTTCAAAGCCAGCCCCCTCTTCAAGCACTTCTTGGCACTTGCAACACTTGGGAGGCCAGTCATAGTCTCCATCTATTACCCATTCTGAGTAAGTACGTATCTGCAAAGAAGGGATAAGAAAAATACTGCATATACCCCAGCTGTCTGCATTATGTTTCGAACTGGAAACATTCAAGTCAATACGAAATTTACGTTGAATTAACAAATGTACATATGCGAATTGTAGACAAATGCTTCATTATACTCTTGCCTCAGCCAACAAATCCTGCAACATAACTGGCAGAATGTATACAACAACCAAGAATCACTGGATAATCTGAATAATATTTTATAGTACTGTAACACACAACCTCAAGCTCAATCCTAGTCGTGATGAGACCTTTCCTATGAGTCTCTAATAATACCTCCACAGATTTATTTTTACATTTCTTTCTTTGTTCATTTCCTTAAATAAGTTAATGTCAGTCTTTGTAGACTATTTTCAAAGTTCCAGTAGCTTAATTAATGCATATACATCAGCTCTTGATTTCTTTGTGAATGTACTGCTGAACTGAGAATTGAGATTGTAAAATTACCACACATATCTGGTGCTCTAGAGAGCAGATGCATTCTCCACAAACAGGAACCTTGTGCACAAAACAGTACAACTTCGTTGCCTGAAACGCCAGAAAAAAGGCGATGGAATACACAGAGACATTAATTCTTTCATTCAACCAATGCAAAATAGCATCTTAATCAGCTCAAGAACTAACAGTATTTCATAAAAAAACCAATCTACATTCAACTACAATCCTCTAATACGCATTTGAAAGTAAAAACCTCAGAAATCGAAAACAACAACGATCCGAATTGGTGTAAACTCTTTTATGAAGAATCAGCTAATGAAAAAATAAAATAAAATAGAATATACAAAAAACTGGAACAGATCTGAAACCTACACTGTTGAATTACAGATTTCCACAGAATTTTAGCAAGCACCAGAATGCATAACACAAAGATCACAAATCAAGATTGCAAATAGTCTTCTCAGCGAATTATCAAGTGATCACTACATAAAGCCATAGCCGAGATTACCTTCCGGCATTTGCAGACCACCATTGCATAGAGATACGAGTAAGCAGAGACGGTTGCTCGGAGCTGGACGGTGCCGTGGATGAAGCTCGCCGGAATTGAGAAATGAATTCGGCGTGAAATTGATGGAAAATTGTATAGTCTTTGGATTGATCGGAATTAGAGGGAAATGGAAGATGTCGAGGAAATATGCGAAGGTTGATCCGTCTTTGGATTGGATTGCTAGAAAGTATGGAAATAAAATAAAACTTCCATGGTGACCGAAAAAAACAGGCAAAAAAAAAAAAAAAAAATCTCCTCCCGACCGTTATTATTTATTTATTATTTTTTGGTTAATTACTTAGTTCCAATTCCAATTTTTATTCTCTAAACTTTTTATTTTCAACCCTTTTTATTCCCAAACAATTTTCAATACATTTTTTTT